ACCGTGTGTGTGTGTGTGTGTGTGTGTGTGTGTGTATATATGATGGCTTTTCTAGAGAGAAGGAGGAGCGGCAGTTTTCAGGCTTTCAGTCAGGGCCGGCCATCCATTTCTTACAGTAATCGGAGAATCTACAGTAATCGGAGAAGACGCCATGCCCGATGCGATGGATTCCAAAGGAAACACAGCTCACATCGATTTCCGCAGACCCCCTTTCATGGACTGCGTAGATGGCCCTTCAAAGACCCCCTCTCTAAAGGTAAGTATGACCAATACGTTTACAGTGAATCTAGATTAAGCCTCAATGGATTTGAAGAGTGTTCAACATCAACTAGCCGAAACATCAAATTTAAATTCCAGACACAAAATAAGTCTTTTGAGCTCTTTTATTCCTTCTACAATCACAACTTCTGCATTTCTGATTTTGGTGCTAAAAGATATCACATTTGGTTTGATTTGGACAATTTTAATTGGATCATGGGTTCTTTGCCATTTTTTCGAAGCTTAACTGTTGGGCAGTGTCCATGTTAGAGGAAAATAGAACCATTGACCTTTCCATTGGTTCCAATAAAAGAGGTAAATGTCTGAAAATCCGAGAGAGTAGGAGAGAGGGTTGTACCTTCCTAATTATTCCCTTTGATTCAAACGTTGATGGCCCAAAACTTTTCACAAAGGCCCTCTCCTTATTCACCAAGAGAGCTACCAATCTTGAGTTTTGCTCAAAGGTGTGTGTGTTTGAGGAACCCAAGGAATCCCTGCACCATTCTCCCAAGGGAACTGATGCTTCATCGCTGCCTATAGACATAGGGCACGAGGTTAATACCAAATGCAGTGGAGAAGTCACAAGTTCGGAGGGTTTTGTTGGTGATCTCTCCCTAGCCGAAACTAATAAGCAAATAGTTATTTACCAAACTAAATCAGCTCCTAGCTTCACCCTCTCCACCAGTCAATCCGAAGAGTTTCCACCTCTACCACGGAAAATCCTTAGTCCTTCTGCTCCCGCCTTTGTGCCTGCTATATACTCCTATGCTGCTCTTTTCACTCAGGAAGAAGGATCCGAAGCTATAGCAAATCTGGAAGATGATCCCTTTTCAAATCTTCATGGGCAAAGTTTGATACTATCCCTCAATGCAGTGGAAGATCACGCAAAGGACAAGGATGGACCCATTCTATATACCCACTCTGATGGGGAGGATTTTGTGTTCATAGATACAAAGCTCAAACCTCTACAAATTGACCTCTCAAGATGCTCCAAACACCCCCTCCATCTCCGTAAGGAACTCAAGGGCAGAAGGGCATACTCACCGTCACAAATTGTTACGAGGAGTAAGGCTAAAATCCTTGAGCAAGGTAGGAAATTTAATCCTATCGGTTGGGTTGAAGAAGAAGACTTGTTAGATCCCCAAGAATCACATGAAGACGAGGTTATCAATTTTTTCAAACTTTGTTGTCCTCACAAGATAGAAGATCCTAAACCTCTTACCAAAACCCAAAAAAAGAAAATGAAGAAGAAAAAGAAGCAGTCTCAATTTTCTGCATATGGTTTTGAGGAAGAAATAGAATATGCTTATTGATTGTCATGTAGTTTTAGGTAATCTCTACCTACTGTTTTTTCCTTTAGCTTCCTCTTTTAGTTACTGCCTTAATTTCCATGTCAGGGAGTTGGAGTTGAAGCTTAGAGCACCTGTTTTTCATCTCTCAACACTGCCATATCCCTTATCTTAGGGTATACGGCTGGTCTCTGTTGAACTAACACAGTTGTGTTAGGAACCCCCTTCTATTTGAATGGAGGTACAAAGTACAACGACAGAGTTCGGGCATAATGCACATGTTGATGGAAGATAATTGAGGACAAGGGACATGTGGAATTGTACTACGCTGTTTGGAGCTAATGCCTGGTCTTTCACTAAACTGCGCAGACTACACAATCCTTGGTGTGGAAATTATAACAAGCTGTATAATTGGAGCCCCTTTAGAATTTTGGAAGTTTCTTTTTGTCTAGTTTATTTAGCTTATGGTACCTGTTTCTATTTCCTTTCCTACATTTACTCTGGCCGAAGTGTTGGGCAACTGGCCACCCCACTTGTACTTTTCTTTCCTTTATATCTATTAATAATAAATTTCCTTAAAAAAAAGAGATATATATATATATATATATATATATATATATATATATATATATATCAATAATCACTGACCTCATAGAACTAACAAACATGACACGAAGAATACAAATGACGATAAGCGCATGACGACGATGAATGTCAACCATACAGTATCGATAAGTGCGATGCATGAACCGTTAGACGACATGTACGAAACCTAAATAGCCGATTGACATCCCGCGAGCTGAAAAACGAATTGTACTGAACAAATGCGAGACGTAGATGACACTCAAAAGAACGACTGTTCCTACGACTTCTGACGAAGTACCCTTGACGTGCAAAACAAACTAGCCGATGATGGATGAATCACGATGAACTTGTCCCGCAAGGAACAAGCCGAGAACTAACTATTCGACGTGTGACATCTCTCGAATTTAATCACGAACGTATTTAGATCGTATAATGAAGGGATTCCGAAAGACTCGCTCGAAAAACGCGTAGAAGATTAATGATCCTTAGGAAGAAATTCTTTAAACACCTTGTCGAATGTGTGTGGTTGTACGAATACTGGGTTGGAAAATCATGGCAGGCGAACAACTAATATTCCTGAACCGTTAAAATTTATCCGTAACCTACATTTGTACGTTGACTACATTGGTTGACCTCCACTATGATTGTTGACGGTTGTCAAACTTCTACACGAGATTTGATATTGTAACTCCATAGCGAATCGTCATAACCTCTTTCCAAAATCAAGCAATGACGTACTCGTGAAGGTAGCAATGCCTTGTGTCCCGAGAATTCTATGTAGTAACGTTGATTTTGACTTATAAACTAGTGATCTACAAAACATATTACTAAAACGCAATGATGAAATTGTTTGAAAGAAAATGCAATACGAAATCATCGTGACCCTACTGAAATAGTCTGAATGTCTATGCGACTCATCGAGAATCTCGCTAAAGATCTCAACGATTAAGAATTACCTTGTCAACAACGAAGACACGTGTACGTATGAACGAAAAGACAGTGCTGTATCTCGACACTTGAAGCATCCAAATCCCCATGAACGGATGACATGAGGGATCGCTAAATGAAATGTTGTTTTGGAGACTATTACGAGTAAACTTGTGAAATCTTCTATTGACTACTTAATATAAAAATCCGTAGTCTTAAGTACCTCGACATTATCGAAAATCGTGAACGTAAGCACAGGTTGAAGAATCCTTTTTCTGCTCAGAAAGAGAGACATTGATAATAGACGATCAAATTAATTGCTATAGATTCGAACAAAACAAACGAATACGCTAATGAAGCGAAAAGAAGTGTCGAACATGAATAATAATAAAAAATTAATCCGTTATATGCAGACATTAGTAGTTGACTCTTCGCGAGAGAAACATAGTTATGGAGTGACAACGCCGTGAAACTAACCATGACGCCATGCTACGTGAATCGTGACGTGACAGCGATAGGGAGAAGAACAACTCGAGATAGATTTACGAAATGACTTCTAACGCTAGAAAAGCCTAATAGGGAAACAAACTTTCCTAAACGCCATTTTTGACCACACGAGGGCGTGAACGTTACCACCATTCTGTTAATCAATGATAAATCCGAGAAGATCTCATGCTGACATCATAAGTTAAGAAAACGAACGAACTTCGAATACGAACTGTACGATCGATCAAATAACTAACGCTACGAAGTCAGAAAACTTAAATATTGTTTGTACGCACTTTGGAGGGACTCTATCTAGGATCTTTAGAACCAAACTCAAGAAAGATTGAATTATGAATTCGACGAACTTGTCGTATCTCTGAATGAAACACAAATACCAAACTCCTACGATAATACCTCGGACAATAAACGAGGAGAGTTCCGTGGGAATGGCGTGGCCATTCACCTAACCATAATCGTAATGCAAATGCGAAACCAATTTTCTAAACTACGTACCTTAGAAGAATTTCGTGGACGAAATTCCTTTAAGGGGGGAAGAAATGTAACGCCTTAGATACCAGCCTATAAGTTAATTGATAATTAAATAAATAAGAATTATTTATTAACGACAATCTATTAGTTTAAAGAATTAAAAGATATTTTAGAGATTCTAATCATTTCGATATAAAACGAGACTAATATAATTACATTTGTAAAGATTTAAAGTAGAGGGCTGATCGGCACTAATTAATCAAAAGAATTAAGACGGGTCAAGGGGAACATATAAATGTTTGTCAATTGAACACAAAAGTTATATTATTGGGTAGGGATCGACGAATCGAATCCAACGACGTGAACGAATCTCAATTCAGAGCAAGTTAGCTCGAAAAGTGAGTTTTACTCAGACACTTTATTTTAAATTAAGGAGCACGAAACCCTAGCTATAAAAAAATATAACATTCTCAAACTCGATCTTCTTCTTTTTCTTCGATTCAATGCCGCCTCCAGCAGTCTCCTTCTACGATCAACGAGCAACGTCGAAACCGGGAGTAGCGACTCGCTGTTCATCTCCAGCGAGCAGGCACAGCGGCGTAGCAGTGTCCTTCCCCGACCGAAACGTGCAGCAACACGAGGAGTCCCTGTCAATCGGTGATGGCGGTCATCCGTGACCCAGCAACGACGGCGGCGATGTGCCAAACCAGCAGCGACCTCCGCCGGCGACTGGACTCTCTACTCCTTCTCCGGCGGCGACTTGCACGGAGGGCGGCGGCGGTGGGATCAAATAGTGCAACCCTTCTCTGTCCAATATTCTTTGGTGGCGAAACCTTCCGGTGACGCCGTCAACCTCCAGCGATTAGCAAAGTCGGGGCCTTGATCGACTGAGTCTGGGCAGCAAGTCAATCCGGCCGGAAGGGGCAGTTTCGACGATCTATTTGGGTGACCGGCCCCGAGTGATGTTCTCTGGAATTGAATCGAACTAACGAGGTTAGTACATGGACATCTAACACTAGAATATGCATCTAGGTTTGAAATTCCGTTCATAATTGTTATCGTGGTTAATCTAGGCGTTGATTGATGAATTAATATGCTTGGTAATGTTTAGAACGTTAATATGAACCTATTGGTGTTTGCTGTTCTGAGATTGTTGTTGATCTGATGCTGAAAAACGAAACAGATAAGAAGTTAAAAAATTATTGCGTCAGACGGCAGGCGGTACCGCCGGGACGGTACCGTGCTACCGTCACACTCTGCATGTTTATGTTCTCTTTGCCGGTAGCTGTGACCATTAGGTATCTAGGTACCGAACAGACGGTAGGCCCTACCGCCTAGTCGGTAGTCGGCTACCGTGACAGTTTTATCGGAAGAGCCCAGATGGTTCGGACGGTACCCCAGGTACCGCAGGACCGGTACTCAGGTACCATATGAATGGTACCCCGTACTATGAGAGGTACTGTCTGGTACCTGATGCCGAGTTCGTGGATTTGTGTTTTCGTCAAGGATTAATTCCGAGACTCTGTGAGTTGCATGACGGTAAACATGGGTGTTTACACCCAGTGTTAGGCTGCTATCTGATTATGTTGGATATCTTGTTAAATACATTGTGGATTTATGAATGTTGTATTATGCACTGGTCAATGAATATTGGATATATCACCTAGAAGAATTCTAGGAAATGACCTGAATGGATTAGTGGCAAGGTATGCCATAAGTATAGTTAGTTAGAGCCATGGGGTACCTGCTGGGTCCAACGGTTGTTCGGGTAAAAACGTGTACACGGGGATCTAAGAACTGTCGTTCCGAAGGGGACAGGGATCTCACCCACCCAACGAGGAACTCCCGTGTTGGTTTGAGCTTGACCTTCGTTCCGAAGGGGAAGGTCATGACTCCATAGGCAAGTCGAATTCAGTTAAGCTTTAACCTAGTATAGGTTAAGAGCCAAGTATGATAGGGAAAGTAAAGTAAACTAAAAAGGAAAGTTCATAATACATATACCGATGATGTTTGTATCTTATGAACTATTATGACGTTGATTATGCATGTTATATCTTGGATGTCGTATGATTGTTGCCAAGCATGTTGTGTGCATGATATCATGTGATAATTGTGAATTAGTGGATTCGCCTATGTGCATGTTCGAACTGTTAGATATTTCTCACTTAGCTTCAATGCTGAGCGTGTAGTCCTTTTTGCTATTTGCTACATGTAGGTGGTTGTGGAAGATTGATTCTGGAATCCATCCCGGAGAGCAGCATGACGGAGGAGATGTACCGATGCAGGGTTTTAATAAAGTTGATATTTGAGTTAATTAAAAGGCTTCCGCACTGTTTGTATAAACTCCCATATGTATATAAATTGTTTTGAATTGTTTGAGTTATAAATTAAATGTTTTAATTTATTGGAAACTATTTTATGTTGATACTAATTTAGTAGCAACTCGGTCCACTAACCTATTTATTCGGGTTACGCGGGTTGGGGTGTTACACTTCATGTCTCAAATGATTCTTTGCTATGATCCTCATCAATACGGAAAAAAAATAAAAATTGTTCGTTCCGACAATGGTACTAAGTTTCTCAACAAACCTCTTCGTGAATATATGATCAAATGGGTGTCCAAATTCAAACTTCTTGTGTCGGTAAACTGCAACAAAATGCCGCGTTGAGCGCAAACATTTTCATATTCTCAACGTGGTACGAGCTCTTAT